AAAGGGCCTTAGAGCACAAAGAATGAATGGGATAGAAGCTGACAAACTTTGTGATTGTACTATGAGCACTCACCCTCTATAAGCATTCGCCTATGTGGAATTCTTTTCTTCCTGTGCTTTCCTAAGATTCTTTAAGTAGGTCAGTCACTTCCATGTTGGTGGGTGTTGCCTTGGAGTGGGAGGACTAAATTAGTTGTTAATAAGCCATTCAATTGATAGGCCAAAATCTATAAAACTCAAGAGACTTACAAGGGCTAGTCAGATGATTAATGCTGGCTCGGTGGCAATTCTGGTGAACTCCAAACCATAGTGTGTCAATCTGAAAGGAATACCTGCTCCTAAGGTGTTCAACCATCCTAGTTTGCCTATAACTGAGAGGTTTTTCAGGATGTAGGACTCCCAGTGCTAAAACTGGAAAAATCCTGGGATGAAAGTTGGCCACCCTAGCTCCTACTCAACATAGCCAATTTTTGTTATATTTGAATGTCTTTCCTTCTTTCTATCATTCTTTTCTTTCATATGCAAAATCCCCTGTTTCTTAAATGCTGAGAATTAATTCAAAATAACAAATAGTTTATGGATTAAAACACAGCCCATATTTGGCTCATAGGCTCCAAGTTCATATTCCATTTTTAAAGAGAAGACAGTGTGGGCCTAGGGGAAAAGAGTTAAGTAGATGGCCTTGGTTTCTGTTTAGTCTGGGTTTTAAACCATAGTCAAATATGAGCCATTATGGCTTATTTATTCATCCTATTTCACAAATTGTAGTGCTTGCAGGTAAGCTTTAGCAATTTAGTGAGGGAACCTAAGTTAGTTATAAATGATGCCATTTTAGTTATTTTCTTGATCCTTGTTATCTATATATATTCTCCTTGAGAGTACTCCAATGGTGTTTGTGAGAAAATAGGATTCTCCTGTTTAGCCATGGAAAACTATTACCATGGAGAAGTGCTCAAGACAACTAATACTGTAATTATCACAATGCCCTTGTTTCTCTTGCCTTCCATTGCTAACCTTGTCATTCTTTCCATTATACTTCTAGAGTTTACTTAATTCATCACAGACAAGCCCTTTACATTCTCAGCGTCTTCATAGACTACCTTCTCTGCCCGTTGCCATACATGTTAATAAATATAATATTAACTTTATTACATATTATATTATTAATTATATTGTATATTATTAATCATATATTAACTATATTATATATATTATGTTTATTAACTTATTTACAGCAAGCAGACAGAGAAGGTGGTCTGTGAAGACGCTGAGAGGGTAAAGGGGTGGTCTGTGATGAATTAATTCAAATCCAGAAGGTATAATGGAAAGAATGATAAGGTGGCACATGCCTGTAGTCCCAGCTATTCTGGAGATTGAGGCAGGTGACTTGCTTGAACCCAGGAGGTGGAGGTTGCAGTGACCCAAGTTTGCACTACTGCAGTCCAGCCTGGATGACACAGCAAGACTTCATCTCAAAAACAAACAGACAAACAAAAAGCGAAAAAACTTTGGAGCAGTACCTAAAAAGTAAGTGTCAAAAAACATTGCTATTATTGTCATCATCATTATTAACTGAAACCTGGCTCTGCATAAAAAGCACAACTTTCTTGACAATCCTCTCAGGGAAGGTTTGTCATTTCTCTTGAATGTCTGAATTTTCCAAAGTATGGAGAAGAGGATTGTACTCTCCCAGCTACCCACTGCTGTTGGCAGGCAATTATTTGCGTATCCTCCAGCAGAAACTCATGTTTGAGACTCCTACCATCAGTTTAAGCCCTGTTTTAATCTTCTTCGTCAGCTTGGTCACAATCCCACAGTCACTGAGGACTTCAGGGCTGCCTCAGGGTTTTCCTCCATGCTGAGTCCTCCATGCTGATTTTAGAATCTTAAAGAGACTTCATGGCCATGTGAACAAGACATTAATGAATGCCTCCTGCTTTCTTCATCTACTGATTTACTGTGTGCTCTTCCATTTTCATCATTAGGAAACTCTCTGAAATCCTAAACTTCAATTTTTCTTTCTCATACCACATCTCCTTTTTAAATCTCGTCCTTTTCCTTTGGGAGGCTGAGGTGGGTGGATCGTGAGGTCAAGAGATGGAGACCATCCTGGCCAACATGGATGGAATTTGGAATCAATTTGGAATTAACTTATATACGTTGATTCTCAAATCTATACCTGTATCTCTGAACTCTCTTATAAATTCTGTATTCATAATATACAATTCTGTATTGAAATCTGTACCAGAATGTCTGAGAATCCCAAAAAGATGATATGGACAAAGCTGACCTTGTCTTTCCCAGCCTTTCATTATACTCCTTGTAATTGCCATGAAAATTCATGAATTTTCCCCATAACAACCTAAGAATTTTCTAGAATCTTTTTTTTTCTCTTAGAATCTTTCTTGTCCTCGTTTCCTATACCTAATTAGTACTTCGTTAGTTTGTATCCTTTAACAAGCAGACATTGACACTAAGATGGGTGGAGATGTACAAGAAATTATTCAAGGGAAACATCTGTGAAGGATGAAGGAAAGGAATAAGAGTAGATAGGAAGAGGCTTTAGCTTGCAGTGCACCTCCAGCAACTGTGAAGGTAAGGAGGAGTGTCTTAGTCTGTCTGGGCTGCTATAACAGAATAAGAGTAGGTGACTTATATACAATATACATTTATTTCTTATAGTTCTGGAGACTGAGGAGTTCAAGAACAAGAAACCAGAGGACTGGTTCTTCCTGGTTCATAGATAGATGGCTGTCTTCTCACTGCATCCTCATGTGACAGAAGGGTCAAGGGATCTCTCCAGAGTTCTCTTTTATAAGGACACTAATCCTATGTATGAGGACTCTGTCTTCATGACCAAATCACCTCCCCTAAACCCCACTTCCAAATACCTATTATATTGTAGAATAGGACATCAAAATATAAATTTTTCAGTTGGGGTCAAAAACATTCAGTCTATGGCAGGAAAGAAGAAAGATTAGATAGGAAGACAAGAAGGTTTCAATTAGACCACTGGGAGTACTCAAGCCAAAGTCTTTAGTAATAGGAGTCCTGTATTCCAGGGAACTCTTGTATCCTACAAGAATGACTTGCACTAGTTCCCCCAGCCATGCTCATTCATTGGCTGGAAGCAGCCCATGGGAAGCATGGCCTCATCATAAACGGAGTGGTGGAACTAGTGAGATAGATGCTGGATCCACTGATCAACTTACTTACAGTGCAGGAAATCTGAGAGATACATTTCACAGTTGCCACTTTCCAAATCCTATCGATTTAAACTTCTTAAAATCTATCAGACCCCTTTGTGTTCCACTTCCCTAGGCATGGCCTTCTTATCTTTTATCTAGAAGGCTAACTGTCCTCCCTGCCACCAGTCTTGTCTGCCTTTCTCTCCAGTTCATTCTCAAAGCTGCTGCCAAAATGCACCTTTTCATATGCAAATCTAATTTGGTACCTTCCCAGTAACCAGATTATAATCTTTCAATGGACACTTAGGGATAAAAGCCAAGTTTCTTAGCATAGCAACAAAGACATACCAAATATCCCGCTAAGCCTGACTAGCTACATCTCCAACACTTTCCCTACTTCTCTATAAATGTACAGTACAGTGCACTGACTGAATTTATAGTCCCTCAGACACATCTTCCTTAACCTCATACCTCATCCTTTGCACAATTTAATCTTCCGGGAGTGACCAACTACCAGTGCCTCCTTCTGACCCATAGCCTGATTATTAACTGCCACATAGCTTAATATATTTTTCTAAGTCAGTGATTCTTGTTTTGGCTGTGCAGTGCCTAGAGAGCCTTAAAAACAAAACAATGCTGAAGTCTGGGTCCCATTCCCAAAGATTCTGATCTAATTAGTCTGTGATATGGCTGGGAATTAAAAGTATAAAAGTTCTTAAGAGAATTCTACTATGTAGCCACAGTGGAATTAAGAAACACTGCTTTATAGCTTTCTTCCAGAATTCTGAAATTCCTAGTGAGAGTCTGGAGCTTGTGCCCTGAGTAGCATCTGAACGCTCTATTTACATGTTTATAAACAGTATGTGTGGTATGGTGTGAATTTGTCTTACCTTACTGGATCCAACAATTTTTCTCTTCCTTTAATATTATTATTTTAAAAAATCATGCCAAATCTGACTTTCGGTTCTTGAGGAAAAAGAAACCTGGTATCAGTTATTGTCAGGGGACTATTCTCACTCCTTAGAAGAAATCTGAGGAAGAACCCATAGACTTCAGTCCATCATATTTGCCTGTGAGATATTCAATATCCAGCCGAGCCTCATGTGCCATTCGAGGGTGAGTAGTACTACTCTGCTTACACTTGTATGACCGTCAAGGCCAGGACTTTGGATGCTTACTCTTCATGGCCTCACTGGGAACCCTAGTGTCTCTTGGTGTTGTCAGTAGTAATCCTCCGCTTCCCTCTTTGATTTGCAAACAGAACCCTGATGGTGATGCTTTTTTATTTGCCTACCGATATGGTTTGGATATTTGTCCCATACAAATCCTATGATGAAATGTAATTCCCCGTATTGAAGGTGGGCCTGATGAGAGGTGCTGGGTCATGATGGCAGATTCCTCATGGCTTGTTGCTATCTTTGTGATCATGAATTCTCATAAGATCTGGTTGTTTGAAAGTATTTGGCATTTCCTCCTTCCCTTGTTCCTGCTCCTGCCATGTAACATACCTGGTCCTGCTTCACTTTCTGCCATCAGTAAAAGCTCTCTGAAGTCTCCCCAGAAGCCAAGCAGATGCTGGTGCCATACTTCTACAGCCTGCAGAACTGCGAGCCAATTAAACCTCTTTTCTATACAAATCACCCAGAATCAGATATTTCTTTATAGCAATGGAAGAATGGCCTAACAGAAAATAAATGCTGGTGCCATGCTTGTACAGCCTGCGAAAACATGAGCCAATTAAACTTCTTTTCTTTATAAATTACTCAGTATCGAGTATTTCTTTATAGCAATGTAAGAATGGCTGAACACAGAAAATTGGTACCAGTAGTGGGGTATTGCTATAAACATACCTGAAAATGTAGAAACGATTTTGGAACTAGGTAATGGGCAGAGGTAATGGGCAGAGGTTAGAAGAGTTTGTAGGGCTCAGAAGAAGACAGAAAGATGAAGGAGAGTTTGGAACTTCTGAGAAACTGGTTAAATGGTTGTGACCAAAATGCTATTAGTGGTATGAACAGTGAAGTTGAGACTGACAAGGTCTCTAAAGCAAATAAGGAATTAATGGGAAACTGGAGCAAAGGTCACTGCTGTTATGCTTTAGCAAAGAGCTTGGCTGCATTCTGCTCATGACCTAGGGATCTGTGGAATTTTAAAGTTAAGATGTATAAAGCTGATAAGTCAAGCTCTTACGCTTGAAGGGCTTCCAAGGCAATGCCTAGAACCCAAAAGGTGGGTTTGGAACTCAAGGTGGGTTTGGAAGTCGTCCTTAAATGAATGTAATATTTTATGTTTTTATGTAAAAGTGATAGATACTGACTCCATCAGAATCTGATAACTTCTAAAAATTTACTTTAAAAATTATCAGCCTAAAGATACCCAAATATAATAAAATGATGATTTTTTTAATTAAAAGTTAAGAGTGATGACTTAGGGTATCTGGTGGAAGAAATTTCTAAGCAACAAAATGTTCCAGATATGACCTGGTTGCTTCTAACAGCCTACACTCAGATGTGAAAGTAAATGACTTAAAGTTGGAAGTTATATTTAAAGGGGGAGCAGAGAGTAAAAGTTCAGAAAAATTGCAGCCTAGCCATTTGGCAAAGAAAGGAAAAGCATTATTGAGATAAAAATTCAAGGGGGCTATGGAGCAACTACTTGGTAGAGCTATTAGCACTACTGAAAAGGAGCCAAGTGCTAATAGTCAAGACAATGGATGAAGGGCCTCCAAAGCATTTCATAGATCTCCAAGACAGCCCCTGTCATCACAGGTCCAGAGGCCTAGTGGGAAAGAATGGTTTAGTAGGTCAGGTCCAGGGCCCTACTCCCCTGTTCAATCTTTGGACTCTGTTCCCTGCATCTAGGCCACTCTAGCTCCAGTCTTGGCTCAGTGAGTCCCAGATACAGTTTAGGTCACTGCTTCAGACGGTGTAAGCTATAAGCCTTGGTGACTTCCATATAGTGTTAAGTAGTTGCACAGAGTGAAAAAGTGAAGGAGGCATGGCAACTTCTGCCTATATTTCACAGAATATATGAGAAGCCTGGGTGTTCAGGCAGAAGCCTGCTGCAGGGGCAGAGCCCTCACAGAGAACCTCTGCTAGGGCAGTACAGATACGAAATACAGAGTTGGAGGTGCCACATAGTCTTCACTGGGGCAATGCCTAGTGGAGCTGTGAGAAAGGGGCCACTGTCCTTTAGACCCCAGAATGGTAGATCCACTGGCAGCTTGCAGCCTATTCCTAGAAAAGCCACAGACACTCAACAACCTGTGAGAGCAGCTGTGGGGGCTGAAACCTGTAAAGCCACAGGGGTGAGGCTACACAAGGCTTTGGGAGATGACCCCTTGCACTAGTGAGCCCAGGATGTGGGACATGGAATCAAGGATTGTTTTGGAGCTTTAAGATTTAATGGCTGCCCTTCTGGGTTTTAGACCTGCAAGGAGCCTATAGCTCCCTTCATTTGGCCAATTTCTCCCTTCTTGAATAGGAATATACCTAATGCTTGTAATACCATTGTATCTTGGGAGTAAATAACTTGTTTTGATTTCATAGGGCCATGGGTAGAAGGAACTCATCTCCACATGAGACTTTGGACTTGGACTTGGGACTTGGGAATTTCAAGTTAGTACTAGAATGAATTAAGTCTTTGGATGACTATCAGAAAGAGATTCTTATATTTTGCAATGGAAGAAAAATATGAGATTTGGAGGCCCAGGAGTAGAATTATATGGTTTGGATATTTCTCTTCCCCAGATCTCATGTTGAAATGCAATCCCCAATGTTGGAGGTGGGGCCTGTTGAAAGGTGTTGTGGTCACAGGGGTGGATCCCTCATGGCTCAGTGCTATCTTTGTGATAATGAATTCTCATGAGATCTTGCTGTTGGAAAGTGTGTGGCACTTCCTCCCTCTCTTTTCTCTTGCTCCTGCTCTCACCATGTGCTGTACCTGCTCCTGCTTCACCTTCTGCCATGAGTAAAATCTCTCTGAGGCCTCCCTGGAAGCTGAGCAGATGGTAGTGCCATGCTTGTACAGCCTACAGAAACACAAGCCAATTAAACCTCTCTTCTTGATAAATTACTCAGTCTCGGGTATTTCTTTATAGAAATGAAATAACAATCTAACACATCTATAAATTTACAGTTTGGGGCCCTGGTACATAAAAGCTGGTTAAGGTAAATAGAACATACCAGTCTTACTTTGTTCTATACTTGAAGTAGGGAGGAAAAATTACTTTTCAATCTTTTAGGAATGAGAAACTAGACAGAAATTAATATTACAGTAAATTATCCTACCACATTTGTATTATACTATTTAATAATTTGGGGCTGGGCATGGTGGCTCATGCCTGTAATCCCAGCACTTTGGGAGGCCGAGGTAGGTGGATCACCTGAGGTCAGGAGTTCACAATCAGCCTAACCAACAATGTAAAACCCTGCCTCCACTAAAAATACAAAAATTAGCCAGGTGTGGTGGCAGGCGCCTATAGTCCCAGCTACTCAGGAGGCTGAGGCAGGAGAATTGCTTGAACTTGGAAGGCAGATGTTGGAGTGAGTCAAGATTGTACCACTGTACTCCAGCTTGGGCGACAGAGTGAGACTCTGTTTCAAAATAATAATAATAATACTAATAATTTGGTTAGTTTGTTTGTCTTCTTCCCCATGAGAATGTAGAACATGAAGGCAGGAAATCCATGTTGTTATACGGTATGCCCCTGCTATACCAACCCCAGTAAATGGCATGTAATAGGACTCAGTAAGTTGGTTACTGTCTTTTATTTTCCACTTATCATTTTCCTTGCAGTCAACTAACTTTTATTTCTTTATACTTCTAAATAAATTTTATTCTTAATCAGTTACCTTATAATATTTGCTATTCAAAAATAATTGCAAAAACTATAAATCCTATTACAAAATACTAAGTTGAATAGCTATGTAATAGTAATGCTTATGAAAAAGCTGGACAGCCAAGTGCTCATCAAATAACTGAGCCAGAAATCATTGACAAGCAAAGAAGATTGAAAATTACATACAACTCCTTCATTCTTTCCCTACCATGAGTATTTGGTTTATTAACAGTTTATTTTCCTAAGGAAAAGTCTGTACATTATTTTCTTCATAGTGTTTTCACTATTAAATAAAATTTGTATATATATTTTAAATTTTGCTTTTATATATATATGTCTTTCTTCATAAACCAGAATGAAAACTCTATGAATAAAATGACTTCATCTATTTTACTGCTATTTACTCAGCATCTCAGAAAGTGCATGGTAAACAATAGATGCTTAACATTTGTTGAAGAATCATTCTTTATGTAATAAGACATATTAATAACTAACATGGAATATATGGAAAGTAATCACTTCAATGAAAATTGGGATTCTAAATACTGACCTTTAAAAAAATTATTTATATATGATAAATAAATCAAATGACTTTCATTTTTAATTTTAGAAAAATTGTTAAAAATACTGATATGTGGTATTATGATTGCAGAATTTTGACAAGAAATTTAAAACTTTGAATTATTAGTATAGATGGAGCTTATTTAATCACATGCACAGAGGTACTCTAAATACATATACATGCAGGCTGTGTATGTAACCACGCTAAAATTGAGTATAACTAAAATACTAGCTTTACGTAAATCATCATTGACTGACTAAAATAACATCTTTAACAATAGGAATCTGAAGCTATAAGTTGAAGTTATGAGAGAACAGAAACAACTAATCTTTAATTCTGCGTCAGTGGTATGACAGTGGCACAGTTTGAATAATTAGTAAGACTATCTACTGATGAGTTAGTTTCTAGAGTTCTTTTCAGTGAGCTGAGAGTGCGCCACTGCACTCTGTCCTCAGCAACAGAGCAAGACTCTGTTCCCACCTCCAGCCCCCTCCCCGCCACACACACAGAAAGAGATTAAATCAGTAGTAAAAAGTCTCCCAAAGCCCAAGACCTGATATCTTCACTGTTAAATTCTACCAGACACTTAAATTCTACCAGACACTTGAAGAACTAATACCCATCCTTCTCAAACTCTTCCAAAAAGTTGAAGAAAAGGGGATACTTTCAAACTCATTTTACAAGGCCAGCAACCAAAGACAGACAAGGACACCACAAGAAAATGTCGGTGATGAGCATAGATGCAAAAATCCTCAACAGAATACTAGTGAATCAAATTCAACAGCACATTAAAAGGATCATTCACTATAAGCAAGTGGATTTACCCCAAGGATACTGCAATGGTTCAATATATGCAGATCTCTGAATGTGATGCACTACATTAACAGAATGAAGGACAAAAACCATATGATCATCTCAGGAAAGAAAATTAAATGTTAATTTAGTTGGGTCATTTGACATAACAGGTTAGCAACTGTTTAGTAAGTAGGTAAAATTGGTTGTTTGAATCTATCTGTTTTTAAACAACTGATTATCTTTCTGAATTAAGTTTTCAAAACAGTTTGGGCATTTTTATGGAAAGAATATCATGTACATGTAACTAAATGCTACTTATTCTATTTACCACACAAAGGAAAAGAACATTTATTTGATAAATGTGGCTCTTAGGAGTGTTTGAATTCTAGTCCTGGATAAGAAAGATCTTAGGTGGTAGACTTGGCTTTGGGCACTGGAATCCAAGGTGGTAAACAAGGTAGACCTCCCAACAGAATGTGGAACAATCTCCCACTGAAGCATAGGTTGCCAGGCCTAAAAGTGGAGAAGAAGAACCCAGGTACAAATGTATAGGAAGAGTGACCAGAACGAGAGGTCTCAAAGTGGATGAGAGGAGAGGTCCCTGGAGTGCACCTACAGGCTTTTCATAAACAGTTCCGGTCTTGACTGTCAAATGTGTTGCAAATTGGCAAAAGCTTTAATCTGGTTTATTTACTCCTGAGGAAGAAATCTACACAATTGAAAGAGTAGTGACAATGAAAAGCAGACTAAATAATACTTTCTGGAATGGAGCAACAGGACTGTCCATATCTCAAATAATTAATCAAACATTAGGAAAATTTTTGAAAAAACAAGAAGAAAGAGTCTTGAAAGTACCCAGTCAGAAAAAGCAAGTTACCTCTGAAAGAAAAGACACTAGCTTGGCCCCAGTCTTCTCTATTAAAAAATTAATGCCAGCAGGAAATGAAGTAACATCTACATCATCATGATGGATGGCGGTTGTCCCTAGCCAAGTTATTGTTTATTCAGGGTGCCCAAAGATATATTCAAATATGCAAAACTTCCAAAAACAATTCACTCATTTGCACTACTTAATAAAAAAAAAAAAGCAAAACTACTTGAAAATATGTGTAGCCAATTGAAAGATGACCAAAATTTGAGAATTTAAGAATGGGAAAGTTAGAGCATAAAAGATTGGTGGTAAGCAGTAATATCAGTTAAATATAGAAGTAGGTTAACACATGTAGTAGGCCATACAGAAAAAGATGATATATACAGGTTATATTCCATTTTTATAGTGTAACAAAACAAAATAATTAAACTTTGATAAAGAGATCCCCTGCAATGTTTCAAATGCCTTATAAGAATTTATGTGTTATCATCTAATAATACTTTTTCTAGGCTAACCCAAAAATAATCTGAGATATAGATAATATATACAAGGATGTTCTTTGCATCTCTATATATTATAGTGAAAATCTGAATCTAGATATCTAAGTTTTGTAAAATGAGTACGCAGTTGGCTTGGAGAATAGGAACCTTAGTAGGAGATGAGTGGGAGGAAGAAGATAGATGTAGTGTGTTTATTCCCCTGATTTCATTCTTGAGGGGTCTCCTTGGACCAACTACTCCATCTAGTAAGGCTCACAACTGTCAAAGTGGCTCTTTCTATAAGACTCTCCTGGTTTTCATTAATTGTTTTCTCTCATTACCCTTTTAAGCCTGTAGATGACAACATGTTATTAATTTTGGAATGTTGCACTATCCTTCATGGTTTTCCTGTACCCCATTCATACCTCTGTAGTAATCTTTTTTAAAAATTCTCCTCCAATTTACTCAATTTGGGTGTACCAATACCCTGGTGACTGATAAACGCTTCTGCTGCTTTGACTTTAGTTGCTAGAGGTGGCTCACTTATAGGTGACT